CAGGACAGCCTCCAGCAGTATAGACAGGAGCACACTGAAGACTTCTGAACTCTCAGTTACATTACCTCAGAAAGCAGCAACAGTAAATACCAAACAGAGACAAGACATCCCTGTGTAAGAGCTGTCGTAGAGCATCCAGCATCAACGCTTTTCAAGATACAAACATTTTGTGCAATTATGCCCTCTTCCATTAAGGAAATGCCTGAAACAGTACTGCACTCTCAGACTCAGCAGCACTCATATCAGCAGACAGGCCTAAAATAGATATGCCACAGTCACCTCCAGAGCCTAGATATTCAACCTTCATACAGGTTGAGTTAGGAATAGGGGGACAAGTTACACTAGTTATCTAAGTAGCCCACTCTCAAAGGTGGATTCTTCCCCCTTCCAACTCTCACGAAGAACTCAAATTTACTCAGTCATGATGTATTATTTACAGTGGTCTCCTCTACTCAAAGTTACCTTTGAACTTATTTTATCTGGATTGAATACATCTGAACTATACAAATTCCAGTGTAGAACATTTGTGCTTCCAACAGGATGTTGTAGTGTTGGAGCTAAACATACTTCACATAGCTACTTACTTAGACATTAAGAAACATACTCATAATTCTGCAAACCCTTAACAAAGCCATTTAATGAATGGAGTAACAGTAACTAACTCATTTGCCCAAGGTCACAAAAGAGGCAGAACTGAAGCCAGTACTTTCAACTCTCCCGACTCCCAGACTGGTCCATGTTTATCTTCACTAATTATGAATTTAGAAAAGCATGACTTGCCTTTAAGTTCTCATCAAAGTGCAAGAACAGCAGATCCATGGCGACTCATTCTTCATGCTTTCTATGTAATGTGTAGAATCATGTCAGTTGTACTAATGTACCATGACAGAGCATAAGGCAAGTGTCTTTGAAGGATATTACATATACATACATATAGTCCTCGAATGCAAAAGACTACTGTTGTCTTAACCCTAGATTTCAAAATAAAACACGTCATATTCATGTATCACTCACTCTTTGAATAGCTTTGTTAATAGAGAATAAAGCTGACCTTCTTCCCCATTTACTAGTGAAAACAAATGCTACAAAATGAGTTTTCCAGAACCATGAAAAATCTCAGCACTTGGAAAGCATTCCTATTATAGAGAAGGTGGGATATGCACCAATATTTGCCCATGTGATATCAACTAGTTTGTCCGTCTCATGTCTTTGAGATCACTGACTTAGAAATTACTAATGATGACATACTCTGCCACCTTGTGTTACGGCTTAGAACTGAAAAAGCCTGTAAAGTTGGATTTCACACAAACATCCAGCTTGAGCTGTTTTAACAGCATTTAACAGCATTTCTTTTTCCACAGCCACTGTCCCACACGAGAAGCCTCTCCACTTTTACATAACCAAGATCTAACTCAGGCTGCAACAGATGGAAGCCCCCATGATCCTAAGAAATAAAGTTCATTCTTCTCCACTAACTGATGCAAGTATTTTCAACAGTGCACAGTTTTGCACAGACAGTTGGTGCCATGTGGCACAGATAGCACCCTTTGGGTTTGAGATTGTATTCCTCCAGCCCAAGCAAATAAATACATAAGTACATATGCTACAACACTGTATTGACAAAAAAAGTGCGGCTAAGCTATCAATTCCTTCCTCAACCTGAATCTGAAGAAGAGTAATAGAAGTTGTCCCCTTTATGTCCCTGGACTATATTTAGAGAACAGGTATGGTATCATTCCCTCCTCTCCGAGAGCAGACTAAGGGCTCATTTACCTACAGTGGTTGGGTATATGCTGAGCAACTATATTCTGTACCAGCAGCACACACTGGGACAGGAGCTCCAGCACCAACAAAAGGGATGTGAAGTCGTAGATATCTTGGTGGTCTGTAGCCAATCCAATCCTCCTGCTACATCTGGGCCTCAAAGAGGCCACACAGAAGCAATCATCCATTAAACCTGCTCAAGTCCAAAGCTGAGTTAATGACACTGTATCTTGCAAAGTAGTCCCAAGCCTACAGGGTGTATGACAGAAAAATGTATGTTAACAAGCAGAAGAAAGAAAAATGTGGAATGGTTCTGGAAAAGGACCTTAACAGGCTTTGAAACTGTTTCGTCCTTTTAAACACATGCTGAGTGGAAGTCCTATTTTCTTAAAAACAAACAAAAAAAGGAAGATTGCATTATAATTTGGGTAAGTATAGCCATCTAGAGGTAAAAAAAATTCCTGTTGTCTCTATTCTGAATAAATAGCACAGTTTCAAAAAAACTTCTACAAGTGCAGTATCTTTACACAGATCAAAATCCTGAATTACCAGTTTTCTCCCATGCTGGGCAATACTATGCAACCTGTAAAACATTACTATATTAGCTATTTACATGATAGTAGCATTGAGCCTACCCACTTCATTTTGGCATTGACATTAAATTGGAAATTTTTGTATTACCTTGTTTCTCACAAATTACCTACTGAAATGGATGCATTACAGTAATTCACAGAATTCACAAACTTAACTCCAGCAT